AAAAAAAAAACACGGGTTCCCTTTCGTGGCAGTCGCCGCCATCGAAAGCCAGGTTTCTTAACAATTTGCCGAGCTACTTAAAAATCAATATGATCATACAGGCCAGCGCAGCGCCGTCCTCTGTCATGACCGATGATTTTGTCAATCAACTCCACCACCTTGCCCACCTGTGCCGTAGAGGCCTGGTACAACAAGACAGAGCACAAGAATGAACGGCAAAATGATGTCCACACCCTGGCACATGCTCACATGCTCTTACCCGTCGCTGACGAGTGTTGCATCTGTAACACCGTTACAAGTTTACTGGAATGTTTCGGATCCTCTAAGGTTGGCTACGACCCGGCCCGTATTGCGTCATGTGCTACGGAAAAGCTCTTGCAAAACACAAACGGCTGCACGTGAAGACCGCTGAGTCGGAACCCACAAAAACTCTGTGGACGGAGCTACCATGAGATGAGCAAAACGTGGGCTGGCTGACTTGTAGGATGGTTGCCCTTGCCATGCCAAACCTCTTCTGGCTCAGGAACTGCGGAGTCTGTGTAGCGACATGTTTGCTGGCTGTCGCACGTCAGTCTGAATTGGGGGACGGGTAGAAACTTTCTGATTAAGCCTGGCTCACATTTTGCGGCCTTCTGTTTGTTGCTGCCTGCCACAGGAAATGGTGATGTTGAGGGCTATGCCAAAAACACAATATACGGATAAACGGCGTACCATGGCACATTCGCACCAAGAGGTTTGTGCAAGTCGTAGTGCTTCAGCTCTTCGCTGGGACTCTGAAGACAGGCGGCCTGCACAAATGGGACTCTTGCAATTGCTTGTCCATTTCTTGTGAGCGCGCTTCTCTTCTGAGTGATGCCGCGTGTCACACAGAATGCGGAGGTATCAACAATTCAAGCGGATGCGCCTGGAGCTGCTTCTTACGCGGAGGACTTCTTCTCCTGGAGTCCTCCAGGGCCTCTCCGGACAAGGAAATTTTGCAAGAAATGCAATGCAAAGGGCCGCAGAACTTTACAACGCCCATGATGCCATGCTGGAGCCACACTGAGAGGAGGTTATGGTCGCCTTCTCCTTCGCCGTGATGGAAAAGCTGGAGCGACAGGCTGGCCTCCATGATATTATCATATATTATCGTTGCCATCTGATGAAGTGATGAAGTGCAAACGCAGCCACTACCTGGCAGAAGAAGGCCGCGGAGAGTGTGCAGACGAAGAAGTGATGCGCCCTGCTGCCACAGAAATCTTTGCCTGGGCCATTCTAACTGACAAGGTGGCAAAGATGAGTAATTCAAATACCGAGCACTTGCGGTTGGCATTGCTTGAAAGTGTTCTTTACACCCCAGATCACCTAGCGAACCAACACGCAAGGCTTGCGCTACCCACAATGCTAATCTCTGAGTGGCACCACAAGGAAAATCCTCTGTGACATTCATGCCGCTGCAAGGATTTGCGAAGCTGACTGAAACGGTACAAAAACCCACGACACCCCATCCACATGCACCCCGCTTGTGTGCGAATGAATGAGTCATGGACTGCATGAGTGCATGAGCGAATGAAAGAGCGAGGGAGAGGAAGCCTAAAAGCTAACGAGCAGGAGTGATTGCAGCAAGTGCTAATTGCGGATGTCTTCGGCCTTCAGCCTCAGGGCAATGCAACTAGATTTACGCCTAAATTTCCGGAATCGGCTTCTACCGTAATGCCAAGTCGCCATTTCTGCCTCGAAGCTGTAAGTGCGTCGTGACTGGCTTTGTGGCTTAGTGCATCGAAGAGACTCCTCCAAACAAGGTCAGGTTGTCGCACCAGCAACCAACGCCGCAAACACTGGGATTTCATGAGCAGCTGCTATGCTCGAATCGCCTAGGGACTCGCGTCGAAACAAGCAACTCAGCAACACCTCCGCCGATGAGGCCGTGTGGCGAGGAGACATTTCTCCAGCACAAGAAGATGGTGGCCTAGCGAAGGGAAGCAAGGGGCATCACGACTTGCAAGGTATAGCCTCCAATGCAAGGTTACCGTAAAGTAACCTCTTCTTCTGGGAGCCCCACGCACCACTTCTGGCCGTTCCTTATTGCTCTGCTGATTGTCGAAGATGCAGTTGAATCTCCAAGCCACAAGTGCTGAACTTAGAAAATACACAAATTCCATTGCTCTTCAGGAATCTGCTGGTTGACTCTTCAACTTTGGGATCGTGGCCACAAGCAGAGGAGTCAGCTGCCCGAGTTCCTGCTCGCCCCACACGAGGCGTTTGCGCGCAGAGCCTCAGATGATTTCCTGATAATGTGCAAGGACCGACTTCTCAGAAATATTCACACCAGAAAGGATGTTCTGCAGAGGAAAAAATGGTTCATCACAGCTTCGGCATGACCGACAGGCTGATGCCCACAGATTCTGCTAGCAGGTGTTTACATTTATTCAAAACACCTGGCTTTCTGCAGCCAGATCACCGATCCAACTTGGCAAGACAACGAGACCTGTCAAAACCAATGCTGATGAATGTTGGCTGAAGCACCTCAAGTTTCATGGAGTCTTGCTCGGCAAGTCAATCTTGCAAACATTTGCAGATTACAGTATGGGCAGGCCTTTCAGCTTCCATTGCATGGTCGCTGGCCCTGACTGGGGCAAGTTCTCTGTGGCAGTCTGCATTCCGTCCTCGGCCCGGTGCGGAGAAGCGCATGGGCCCTCATGAGCAAGCCGAGCAAGCCGAGCAAGCTGAGCAAGCATGAGAGTCCCAAAGCAGCAAAGCCTCGGGAAGCCGAGCCCTGCCAGCGCTGCTGGCTCTGCGGGCTCTGCGGGCTCCACCAGCTTGTCCGTGGCGTTCGCTGCCGCGGAGAGGACGCTGCGTGGCCAAGAGAAGTGTCTCCGAAGAGAAGGTCCTGCAAATGAGACCCCGAGAACCCTTCAATTATCTTCAATTTCTTTGATCTCATTCACAGGACGTGACGGAAGGTTGCTCTCAGGTACTGCACAGGTGGACCTTGACAACCTCACTGCTGCGCAAGGCTTCGGAGAAGACAGTCGGGGCTCGTAGCGCTTGCTGCGGTTCCAGCAGGCTCCCAGTCTGGAGCAAAATGCCTCAGTCTCCCGTTGGCATCTGCTAGCTTCCTAAGCAGCACAGCATGCATTTCCATCGCTGTCAGCATTGACTGACTATACGAGTAGATTTCATTGAGGGCTCCGCTACGTCACAGCCTTGTCTACCACTTCAAGCTTAGAGGCTTACAGTATCATGCAAGATAATCTTGCGTGTCTGGGATTGAGGCTGGACAGTACACCCACGCCCAGGAAATTGAGTTGACACGACTCACGAACAGCATGCCATGAGATAAAGGGCACCTCAGATTCCATAGCCGCCAAAAGCATGACAACAAGCCTAACAAAATCAACAAACGTTGCACGACTAGCTGATTTAATTGAACTTTGCCAAGGTCGCCATGACAGTCGTAAAGTGGGAGCACGCGCCAGGGAATGCCGCTTGAAGATCTCCCTCTTTCCGCAAACTCCTTACTGTCTCCGCGTACCTGAAAGCTCTCACCCAGGCTACAGCCCGAATCTAGTCTTGCACTCAGGCAGCCTGCAGCAAGCGCCGTGGAGGTGCCTGTCAAAACCATGCTGCCACTCCCCAAATGAACACACAATGCTTGTGATAAAAATATATAAAAATGACAGGTGCTGGTCCACCTGGCGCTCTCCGCAGCCGCTGAGCACCCCTTCGGGTATCCTTGTTGCGGTGAGGCTGCGCCTCACACCTGCAAGTGTGAGTTCCTGACTTGGGATGGCCCATGCAGGCTAAAGAGAGGAGAAAGGCGACAGGAGACTTGTCTGAGCTTCCTTCCACTTCCAACCTGGAGCTCAAAAAACCTGCAGACTCCCAGCCCCAATGCCGGCAAACAAGCCACTTCCACCACATGTTGCTGAACCCCTAGCGAAACTGAGGCAGCAGGCTCATGCCTTGGCGTTCTCGAAGAAATCGGGGCGCAGGGCTGTGAGAAAGAGCTTCTCTGACCTCTGCCGGACATACATGAAGAAGACAACATGGACTGTTGACCACAAGGGTTCTCCGTGGCACTCCAGCCAGGCCACGCCACTGCTGCTCTGCATTTTGGCTGACCACTCCTCAATGCTGTTAACAGCCGAATCTAACTGGAAAAACACAAATATGCCGACAGGCGTGCCGTTTTGGGACCTGTAAACGTTGAACCCACATATTCTACCACCTCAATACGAGGCACGCGCAGCAAGGTTGCAAATATGATCACATATGATCAGTAAGCTGTTGCAACGCGATTGCATGCTTCAAAGCTTGACATATTTTTCCTATCCTGGCGTCACCTGTCAAGTCGGTTGAGTGGGCCAAGTCAGACAGACTTGCTTCATTCCTAGGCCGATGGGTCCTAAACCCTACAAAATAGGAACTACGCAAAAATGGGGGCCCTGGAGCTTTCCTTTCTGTTTGTATTTTTCATTTTTTTGGAGGGTGGGGGGGTGGTGGTGGATTTGTCTAACATGTCCATTGAAAATCTAAGTTTTGCGGAAACACCACGGGGCGACGCTTTCTCTTGTTTATCAATCTGGCGGCGCAGGCAGAGGACCGCTGCAACTTAAAATGTGCTAGGAGAGGTCCTGTGGTTGCTCAAAGTCCAGCAATAGAAAGCGATGGCTGACCCTGGGCCCTGTCTCTGACCAAAACATACTACCAAATCTAAGGGCAGCCTATTCGGGTCGCATTTTAGAGCGCTTGCACGCATGTTGTGCATAGTTGCTTGCTGGGACATGACCTTACAAAAAAGAAGCTCCACGATGAGATGCAAGCAAGGACTGCATGCAAACTATCAACAAACCTAATGCGCACGGAAGGCTTTGCAACGACCGTATCGAGCTCATCGAATCCTACGGCTGGTAGGCGACGATCACCCGGACACATTCAGTAAGAACCTGCTCTCAGATACTTTGTGCTTGCAATCACTATGCTGCGACCTCAGAACCCCTCAAACTGATTGGAAAACATATGCGATGTCCGTATGCAAGACTTGCTTCAAACATGTGGTAAGATTTAGTTGGCTCTTGGAATGATTCATCCATTTTGATACCTGCCTAGAGTCAGACAATCTGCGCCGTGGCATGCCAACATCATCTGCCGGGGCGAGCTCGCAATCATTGCGACCGTCCACATCTCCTGGGCGAAAACGTTGCGAAGCTCACGACTGCTGCATGTTCTTCTGTCGGCCTGCCCGCCGCAATCTTCGTGGTGATAGTGAAAGCTCACCAACACCAAGCAGAGGAGAACCGCAAGAACGACGCGCACCACAGCTCCTGCGCTCTGTCGGAGTCTACTTGAAGCAGGAGACCAAGTAAAGCAAGCAATCTCCACTAGTCCCTGGCGTCTCAGGCAAAGATTCTCTGATTTTCCAGAAGAACACGTACATGTGTTCAAGTACAGCTCAACGACTACACATTGATTGCAAAGTCTGGGGTGAATGGGAAGCGAAGCAGTTCGCTACTGCCCGCAGACTGTTTTCATCATGCGCGCATGCATTACAACCTGGGAGTGTGCCTGAGCCGAGTTGAAATCACCCATGCTCCATCTCCCAGAACCCTCGCTCAGAACAGAACTCTTGCTCTCCTTTGTCGGCCAAGGGTGGATTTTGAAAGTCTTCCTGCTTGTAAGTGTTCTTCGAGGTTTCTAGTACTCACTCGCTCTGGCTGCTTTCTGCGCTAGAAACTTACTGTTCGTGCAAACAACACGGGAATAGGTTGCCGCATAATGCATGTTGCTCTGCTTGTGCTGGGCTGAAGGCTGCAAGCGCTGTGGATGCTGTCAGAAGCCATCAAAGATAGATGGAATCTACAGGGGACTCTACAAGAAAGGCAAGTCTCGGCGGAACAGAAGCCCCAAGCCGAAGGAATGATGCAACACAAACACCAACTCAGGAGTATTTCGCCAAACAAGAGCCTTCCAAACTTCGTTCGGAGTGGCAGAGAATATGGAAAAGTGTGGCGAGAAGAACTCAGTCCTGGCAACAATGGACTCCGACGGATTCGTCTGCTCGTGCTACGAGGCTATGGCAAGTGTGTCCATGCCTTAAAGCGCTAATCTGAGAAGTACGAGACTTGGGTCAGCGAAACCAATGAAGCAGACATACGAAGCATTGTCTGTGGCAAAGCTGGCTACAGGTTAGGCAGCATGTTTATGAGCACGGACAACTTGCACGCCGCCTCACATGGGTGAATGCAGTACACGTCCGCGCAAGCTCAGCAGGAAAAAAGTCAGTATGCGCGTGCTGCACATTAAACTATCACTCGTTGGCGCTTGTGTTGCTAGAGAATAGAAGGATGTGTCGCTGCACATGCGCGGTACATCATTATGCCAACAAGCGTCTCGAGTGCTTCAAGCATGGCCGGCTGACGTTGCACGCATCATTCTTACTTTTCTTCCTTTCCCTCGTTGTCGTGTCCCTCCTGGTCCTCCTAATTAGCTAATCTGCCAATTCAGCACTGTAACACCCTGTAGCCACCTTCAGTTGACATGAACGCGAAGCGGAGTGATTCTATCGTTGGTGCCATTCTCTTGCCAGGCCCTCGGCATCAGTTAGCATGGCCTGTCCGCGGTGCCTGTATTGAAGACATCCGCAAGTAAACAAACAACGACCGCTTCAAGTAGGAGTGCAGAGGCTTCAGGCTGTTGAGCTTGTTGAGCTTGCAGCAGCATCATTGAGGGGGTTCAGGAATGTCCGGAGGCGGTTGACACAAGAGTGCGAAGAGCGTTCACCACTTGTCTGAGGATCTTCAATGCCTAGCAACTTGAACAGACAGCCTCTGTCCTGTGCTGGAGGATGAAGCTATTGCTTGACGACATGGCAGCTGCTGTTTTGCTAATCTGCCAATGGAGCCTCCGCGGCGAAGAGCCCTTCGTTATCCGTTTTTGTACTGAGGCATTTGGGCAGCTGCCAAGATTATCACTTCAACAAGATCCCATCTTCAGGATTGGCCAGCGCAGGGGTACGTCTGAATCTGAACGCAAAGAGCTTCTGAAGTGGTCCGCCAATCTGCTACAAAGTCTCCGACAAAAGATTTTCAAGCTGGAGCAACACAATGCTTTTTATTTTCCCGGCTCTGACTGCATGGGTCACTACGCAGTCGGGATCTGCAATGACGGATTCTGCAATGGTCTCTCTTGACAGCACCAGGAATGAGCTTTGGGAAAAGCACGCCATGCAACCCAACTGACAGCATACAAGGTAAGGTTCAGGGTTCTTTACGCAAAAGATGCATTAGTGAGCAGCTTACCAACCTTTTTGACTGGCTTCATCTCCAGGCTCCGCCCTACGATCTTCCTAAACAATGCAAATTGAGACGTTCTGCAAAACCCCATATTAGCCTTATTATGCAACATACCTATACGTCAATCTCTAGCGGAGAAAAAAGGCGGGATCAGGCCCATCATCACAATGCCCGTTTTGACCACCTGCGCAGGGAACTTGTCGGCAGAAATTATCCAGTGGCAAAAGTAGGTGCACCAAGTGACCAGCCCTGTCAATGCGGGCTGAACAACATACATGAAGGGATCTCACTCAGCACTCAGCGCACATCCAACGCGCCTTTTCCACAAGTTGAAGTTCTGAAGCAATTCCTGGAAGACACGCTGCACATCAACTTATTGATGTGCCTCACTGGAGGTACATATGAAGAAAAACTACACACGCAGGGAGCGCGTCAGGAAAACGAGGACCACGGCTTCGAACTTGTTGAAACACTACTCCTCGTTGCTGCCCTCCTTTGACTCCACTTCGGCTACACCAACTCTGACAGGCGGGCGATGTACTGGCAGGCTTGGGACGTCCATTTCTGCTCCTCCTCTTTCTCCATCCTCCTCCTCGCGGTCCAATCTTGGTCCTCCTCCTGCCCCTTCAACTCGGCTCCTTCCGGCCTGGTCGACCTCATCCATCGTCCTCTTTGCTCAAAGTCGCCTAGACGCCGTGCTTCTGGGACTCACAGACTTCCAGATCGGACCGGAGGCCGAAGAGCTCTCCCAGCCTCTCTCCTCCTTCAGCGTGGGTCCCTGTGAAGCCCCACAGTGCCATTGAAAGTTGGAACGAAGGCAGCGCCCCCAACCAGGTTGAAGGCCTGCCGCGGGTTAGCGGGCTTTCACAAGCCACCCGTGTCAAGGTCTGAGAAAGAGACATAGACTCAGACTTTGGGGGAGATGCCTATCGAAGATAGGAGGTGAGAACACTGCATGCACATCGGGACGAAAGCCACTCTCCTCATGAACAGATGCTGGGACACAGGAAACGCCCGCTCGTCAAAGCAGGACCCCACTAGAAGCTCGACATGGGTCTCCTATTACCTGGGTGCCACATGCGCTTCTAGGTTGCAGTGGACCAACGAAGAGTCAAAGTTGGGCATCAGGAGCAGACAAGGACATCTCTTGGCGCTGTGGTTGTGCAATATCCAAGTTAGCGAACCATTCTGTACCCAAGCACTCTGCTCTCTCAGGGTCATGACACAGGCCACCTGATCCCAAACGAGATCTGTTCCCAATCGTACATTGCAATATACACTACTGAGAAGTTGACAGTTCTAGTTAGCCACTTGCAGTTCAGTTCTGCAGACTGCAGAAACTGCATTGCCTGTTCGGTATCCTGCGCGCGTTGTCCTGCCTGTTGGAACCCTCCTTTGAAACTCGTGATTTGGGACGCCTGGCCTGGCGGTAGGAAATGTACTGCGAGCCATCGAAGTACTGAAGCTCCTCGGAGAGTAGACAATGCTGTCATGCAAGCTCCTTGACCTTCTGTCATTGTTGGTGTTTTAGTTGCAGTGCTTCACAAACCAGTGTTGCCCCGAGGTCCCGTCATGCCGCCAGACGGATGCCTGGGATTATACGCTGAATTAAGCTGAGTCGCCAGGCTTTCCGCGAATTCCCCGCTGGCATCCGATTGTGTCACTTCCACACATCCCACCTGGATGCCGTGGCGTTGCATCGATACGCTGGGAAGAATAAATGAGCAATTTGCACAATACCATGCCGGAAACAAAGACAGTCGCAACAACTACTGTACAGTATTCTCACACGTCATACACTGATAATGAGAAGATCACGTGCAGAAAGACGACAGCAAATAATTTAGAGAGCGATAGAGAGCGGTATGTTGCTGACTTGGCTTGTGAGCCACTCAGACCTTTCGCCTCCTTTCAAGCGGCAGCTTTCATAGTGGAAGCCATGCGTACTGTTGAACATGACCACCTGTCCCAAGTGAACACGGTCGTTGCGCCCTTGTGATCTGCGCGTCAAAGTATTGCCGCAGCCACCATCACTGAAGATAGTGGTGCTAGATAAGTGTGACAAGGATTGACAAGGACAAGCTTGCCAAGTTTTGTTCAGAGGCAGGAAGCAGCTTGCTTCGAGGTCTACGGCTATTCCTGAAGCTGTTGGGAGTTGTTTGTAGAGGGAATCCTTGCACGGAAAGCACAGAACTTTCGTGAACTTTCCAACCTGCACCAAAGGTGCTGACTCACGTCTTCAAAGCGCCTGTGTATTTCCTTTCAAACCATCCCTGCAGAGATCTGGAATCTCCAATGGTACAAGTCCTGCAATCATTAATCATTATTAAGGTCTGTAGCAACTAAATTGGATGGTAGAAGGATCTTGCGACAGCGGAAGCGGCCCATCCAAATCTGAAGCTGGCTTTCATGACAACCCAAAAGATGCTTGCGCGATTATCAACCCACGAACATCTAAATGGACTCTTTGCAGAAGCACCTTCACGGCTCTGTTCATGCTGTCAGCTCCAAACAGCCCGCTGCCAAAGCCTCATGGTGCGATTCTCAAGAGAGGTGGTTGGTTCACAGCGGCAGCTTCGGCGCACCGCCACCAACACCACCACCAACACCACCACCACCACCACCACCGCATACCACCGCCGCCGCCGCCACCACCACCACCACCAACACCACCACCACCACCACCACCACCACCACCACCACCACCGCATACCACCGCCGCCGCCGCCGCCACCACCACCACCACCACCACCACCACCACCACCACGCCGCAGCAGCATCGGCAGCACGGCAGCCGGTGGTGGCACCTTCGGCGGCGGCAGCAGCAGGAGGAGCGGCGGCAGCGAAAGATGCGGATGCGAGAGCAAGAATAGCAGCAGGTCCAGCAGCGATCGTAGAAGCCATCCCCGCCCCAGTCACAGCTGCACTGGTTGCCGGGGGGAGGGCGCTTTCCTCAACATATCTGAAAATGGAGGCTGCCAAAGTGCTGAAGCCGATGTGGCAGTCGCCGGGCCCACAGGGCCGGCCCGAGACGAAGCCCCTGCCTCTGCCGTCCTGCAAGATGGGCTCTGCAAAAACTTGAGCAATTCTTCGGGAGGAAAGCGGGTGATCGGGGGATCAGGAAAACAGTGTTTGAAGACTTGCAAGGTTGTTGCTACGGCAAGTGTGTCTTTTAAAAGGGTCGGGAGGTTGTAGGCATCGTAGGCATCCGATGGGAAGCACTTTGGATACTCTTATGAACCTAGCATCAGCTCCGCTGGATTAGCATTCAATTTCTTGGAAAGATATAAACTCATTTAACAATTGCTCAGCTTCAAAGGCAAGAGTGCAAAAACGCGACAACGACTCGCGCCCGCAAAGGCCACCACTCGGCCCACTCTCGAATCGCTTTCCAGGCGTGATCAATTACCGCTTCTTCTGAAGCTCTGCCCTACGAATGCTGACAAGGGAGGGTGAGTACAGTATGGGCTCTCTTTCAGTGTGGTTGATTCGCAGAACTACAACTCCAGCCAAAAAACGGAACATTGCCAACGCAGAATTCTGAGGACCACGTAGACCCGTGAAGACACCCTTCCCCAACTCCAAGCACAAGCCGCAGAGGCCTCAAAGACGGAGTTTATCGGAAGGGGCCCCGGGTCCGAGAAAGGGAATCCGGTCGGAAGCGGCTGGCCTTGCAGGCGGCTCAAGGGCCCAAAGATTTCAATTGCCAGCTTTGCCAGCTTCCAGGTGCTACATTTGGTTTCGGAGGTCGTGTGTTGAACCATTCAACGGGGCAACTCTCTAGCGCTGAGCCAAGCATGAACAAGTTTGAGAAAATTGAATGCCTGCTCTAGTCTAGTTCTGTCATGCTTTGTCTTGGTTTTGTCATGTTGCACTCAAGGACCCGCGTAGCCTTCCTGCAAGGTAGACAGCAGCGGATCTCGGTAGGGTGCTGGATACACCGCCACTCTTTGCGAGCCTCTGCAGACAAGTCTCTGTCTGGCCTGTCCCGTCGACTCCCTCTGTTCTTCTATGCTCAGGCGAATGGTGGTGCAATGGGGCTCCGTCGCTACAATTGTCCCCTATTCCAGTAGCCTACGTAAATGTCCTAGCACGAGCAAGCTTGCGATGGGAAGTCATGGTCTTGCGCCTAGCGCAACTAGGAGAACCACATAGAACAAGCAAGTGAGGCTGTGAGCCCCTTGGCATCCCTTGGCTATGAGGATGGCAGAAGCTGCAAAGGAGTTAATACACGAGGATTGGCTAGGCATGCTGGTCAGCAACGGATGACATGTACCGTGTACAGATTAGGGGGACTGCCAGTGTCTAAGATGGGGGATGCTTCTCAACATCCAAATGCCGAGGAGGGGGTGCAGGCATAAGATAGGGGTTGGACATACATGGGAGGGTCAGGCCCAGGATTCTATCAACATAAAATCCTTGGGGCCTGACCC